AATTTTCTTTATGGAATGATCAACTTTTTTTAAAACTTATTTGAATGAAATACTCAACAATCCCGCCTTAATTTTTGAAGGAAACAAACTATTCTCTAGGAATCTTGGTGCGACTCAATCCCAGTGTTTTGCGTAGATTGGATCAGAATATTGGGTTTATTGTAAAATCTTAGCTATCGTTTCATGGTATTAATTCATTCTCTGTTGCACATGTCTACACAGGTGCATACGTTGTTAGGTGAAGTAGTTTAGTGCAATTGATAAATCTTGTGTCTATTTGAAAAAGTTTTTTAAAAAACTAACTCTGAATACAATTATATGCGAAAAGTTGAAATAAACCTCGGAATTAGTACTCATTAGTTGGAGACTTGGAGAAACAGATCAAAATTGATGTAAGCATTACTGGTAATTCATTGTGAGACTAAACATTCATTTTGGTAAATTCCTGTAACTGAATTTCCTTTCTGATACAATTTTCAAATCAACAGCACTAGGATACAATACATCACATTTGAAAAAGATACGCTATTTTTAACTGATTGACAAACGAGTAATCTCATAATGTGTTTAAGTCATGTTGATCGGAAAATGATGAACTAATGAATTCTTTAATCCATCCTACAAGGTGTATTTTGACTTAATAAAAAAAATAGAAGAAATAGAATAGAAGAATAGAAGAAAAATAGAATAAAATAGAAGAAATGCGCATCCTGGATTCCACTGCTAGCCACGATCCGTCATTAATAAAATAGATAAATATTTTGTATCATCCCTCAACGTTTCGATCTTGTTAGAAAGATCCTTTTCAAGAGTATGAATCTGACATTAGATTTTCGGGTTAATGTTCAAGTTTTGAAACTGAAAGTGATCTTTACAAACATCCAATTACATCATGATATAGAACAGATCAATATAATGTAGATGAGTCAATTAACAAATTGGTCTGAAAGGCTTTTTCCAGTTGTACAAGTAAGATGGAGCAAAATTAGGATGGGAAAATTTATTTCGGCTATGAAAAGTACAGTGGAGTTGTGAGTCAACAGGTGTAACAGAGAATAAATTATTATTGTGGAAAGATGAATATTTGAACATTAAACGGTTACTAATAATTAATAATAATGATAATAATAGTGATAACGATTAATGTACTTTTGACATCATTTGAAGTAAGAATGATAACAAAATGGATTATATAATATATATCGAACGGTTGATAGGATGTATATAACTCAAAAAAGAGGGTAAAATTGTTGGAAATAGTAGACCAACAGAGTATTACATAATAGGACTAGACAAGTTGTTATTATTTATGTTGGGTGTTGACTGAGGATGAAATGAAAATTTAGCCGGATTCGAATCAGCAATCACCTATTTTCCAGTCAACTGTTGTTAAAATACAACCAATATTTTTTGACATGATAAAGACTATTAAGCGAAATAACACCCGAAACTAATCAAACATGAATAAATACGGTGAGATGAAGTTGTGTTCCACCTTCTCATATATTATTTGCAACTGTCTATTCGAGTCATCAATGTTTGTCATATTTGTGGACTGTCTAACCCATCCTTTCTGTTGACCGAAGAAAGTTACGAAAGGATGTGCAAAGCTCCTGCAATGATCAGCTCCTTATGAGAAGGGAAACCTTTCGGAAGACTTTTGTCTTTTCTAATGATATTTTTTGACCTGAATATAAGGCATGAGCTGCAATGCTAGATCTTTTTTCAAGTTTTTCTAGGTCATAGGAATTTTTAGTGGTTTCTTGTAACTTTGACCATGTTTGGCTAGACGTGTTAGTACTTGACTCACGTCATATGTGGCATCGTATTCACTACAGTCTACCTTGTAAACATAATTTTGTTCCATTGTACTCTCTGTCTTTTGACTTGTGCAATTCCGGCGTAGTATATTGGAACAAATAATAAAATAAATAAGTATTTAATATTAGTCCTCAACGTTTTGATTTTGTTAGGAAGATCCTATTCCACAACGGTTCTGTTGTTGGAAATGGAGATTCGGATCTTTTAATTTACACAGGTCTGGGTGTAATGTGTTCATCGCCTTAAATAATGCTCTTGTATTGTAACTATTAAGTATACATCTTATTTTCTCTGGTGTAGATGTTCAATAAAGAAGTACTATAGTACTTGTCTAATTATTATGCCTTGGTTTTTCAGTGTCTTTTTTCCATAAACTTTTTTCTGTCCTTTTTAGTACCTTTACCGGATAGTTGTTTTGTTTTAAGACTTCCTGAACAAGTTGCCGATCCGCTTGCTGAGATTCCGCTTTATTTGGTATTGTTGTAAGGCCCTAGTTTGTATGAAACATTGTTGTCGATCTGAACACTCTTAACTTGGCATTCCCACACCATTTTACAGTATGACTAGTAGTTTAATTTCTGCCCCCATTGTAATGTAATTCGCTGATTGGTTAACTTTTACTATGCGAACATTTCCAATTGCGGACAAGGTTATATTTTATGTGTATACTTATTCACGTGTTTTGGATTGATTGATTATTATACTCTCGGAGTAATGAACTCTCCCATCATCCAGCTTCGGTCTTCTCTCTATTCACCCCGGGGTCGCAGTCAGTGGCTGTTGCGTACTAGGTTGGCTGTCAGCTAAACGTGCGTATTCTATTATTCTGAATATATATATATATATATATATATATATATATATATATATATATATATATATATATATATATATATATATATATATATATATATATATATATATAACCGTTGACATGCGGAGATATAACAGGTATCCTTTATGATCTCGTCAACAGATTTTGAAACGTTTGACTTAGTTTCCAATGAGCAAGCTGAATCGAAGTCAAGGCACTTGTTATGATGTGTATCTTTTCGATAGACATCAATATCGAGTGTCCCGCCGTTGTTTCGCATGGCTCTGTAATCTAGGAAAGCTAGCGTTCCGAGTTCTGTTTCTAGTTCATAAGTGAATTTTATCTGATTGAAATGGTTGTTAAGATATTCGGAAAGATTTTCAAGACCTTATTTTTCGGTTATGACAAAGGTGTCATCAATGTACCTCCACCATATTCTTAGTTTTAAATCATGTTGACTAGTGAAGTTTGATTCTACTTTGTACATATGTAGATTGGCTACAATATGTGAGACATGTGAACCCATTGCTACCCCACTGGTTTGACGATGAAGATTTCCTCGAAAAGTAAAAATGGACAACGTCAAACATTAATCTCTGTGCATCACAGATTTTACTGATGGAAATATTGAATCTAAGCGATAAGGAAGTATCCAATTCTAACAAAAATCTATCAACTTGTATGCTTTCATCAATCGGAATATTTGTATACAGAGAAACAACACCAAAGCTAACCATTGTTTCACCATTTCCAATGCTTGTTTGTAATAATTTATGTTTAAAATCTAGTGTATTTTTGACGACATTTAATAAGTTGTCTTGTAATGGTTTAAGAATTTTTGTGACGTATTTGAAAGGGTTATATGTTGAGGATGATGGGATGAATTTGAAAATTGGGTTTGTGAATTTTGGAAGACCATAGAAGCGTAAAGCGGCGTAACATTTAGGTGCTAAATTAAACCACGCTCGTTTCTTTAATCATAATAAGAAATAAAACTTCCAAAAAAGTATGCCATGACCATTAAACATCTTCATTACTCTAATATTTGCTTATGCTTCTTGCTATTCCCATATCTCTTAATTATTAGAAATTCCAACTCAGTGTGAAATTGACTTTATTTTCCTAAATACACTGTATTTTATCTCAACGTCCATCAAACTTAACAGTACAATGACTAGTATCAGTTAATGTTGTACATAGTATGGCTTTCTTCCTACAAATGTCATCATTTCTGGTACCAAGTAGATTACGCATTGTAGTCAAAACTTTTCAAAGAAAATCACCATTACATTTCACGTTACTATATCACTTGATGCTTATTTTCGCCTCAGACTGTTTATTGTATGAGCGTCTGATTAGATTTTTAGGCGCATTAAAATAGATGAATTCTCAAATGGTTATAGTGGTAGTGATTCGTTTTGCATTACCGATCAAATTGTAGTTTAATAAATAATATGATTTTTCAGGTCGTGTGATTCAACACTTTTATACATTATTTACTTTCGGAATTTCGGTGAAAACAGACAAATTGTCACGTGTCTAATACTAGATAATAAGTTGACATCCATCAGAAAAAGATATATAGGACCTCGAGAGAATTCATTATGATCCGTTATGTACGTCGAGCTTTAGTCGAAATTAGAAGTATTTTCGCTAAGCTGTTTGTGACATGATGAGCTTTCCGTATCACAAGCTTCTAAATAATTCATAAAAAATCTGATTTAAATGATGGTTTAGCGCGTCATGTTGTAACACAGCACTGGCACACATCTGGGGGAATGTCTTGATTGATATATCTGTCTGTTTGAGTTGCTATGTATCACATTGCCATCTGCAGTTAGGCCGTATGAAGAACTAAACTCGGGTGTATCTAACTTGCTCTAAGCACTTTGAGTTTTGACCTCAAAGAGAATGTAACTTCCCTCCAGGTTAGTGATATGTATCTTCAATAAGATATCAACTATCAGGAGCCTAAATCCTTGGTATCTCTTCTATCGCATTTGAAAATCTACGTTTGTTCAACTTTTTTGTCTTTTTGCCCGCATTGGGTTCCATAGATCAACCCTCACACTATCTGCCGGGTGTAATATTGTCACTCTGATTTTACCTCACACTGTGTTTTTGTATTGTTGTCTGTATTTTTGTTGTTGTTTTAGCCTAGTATATTTCCAATTGCTTCTTGTTATGTCACCTCCCTCATGGTGCGTATTATTTTGTATATAAACAGACTCTTATATATCACGGATAATCATGTATATTCCCTTCACTTATTAATCCATTTGATGTCACAATATTGTATTAATTTTGATTTTAAAATGATATAATATGATTCTATCTTATTCTTTTGTGTTTCTGTTTGTATTAGAACTTTAAACCAAATCACCGAGCAAATGATGTCATTGCAACAACTGGGTCTCCTTCACTTATCACGGGTCGATTTGTTCTTGGGGATTGGACTTGATGAGTTTTTCTGATGAAAAAGTAATTTGAATGCATATGCATATTTGCACTTTGTTAATATAAACCAAATTGAATGGTATGCATTTTAATTATTATTTTACCAGGAATATTATTAGCCATATCACAAAATTGGTGAACTTTACCACTTATATAACTGTGATAATAATGCCAAATATATTACAATCAGTATATTGTCGTCGTGCCTACATTCTTTTAATGTAATTGATATAAAATTATCACAAGGAAGTATTACACTTGAAATCATCGACAAACATATTAAGGTTCATAATGTTTGCTTAGGTTTTCAAATCAAAGAGAGTTTACGTTTTTTTTTATAGACTCTGGGTGTTTCATACTGAGCTTGTCAAAAATATTCTGTTATTATTTGGTATTTCGATTAGAATGACATACTTCAAAAAATCACAAGGGGCATATATAAACACAAATATAATTTCAATTTCATTAGAATTAACGTGTTAATGCTTGATCTTATCGTCATTAGATCTAAAAGTTAGTTTTCGATTAGTTTATATGATGTAATTGTGCTGATGTTGTTGCACAAATTCATCTAATATTTTCGTTGCTATTGAACGAAACAAAAAGACATGTATGAAGGAAGGAACGTTTAATGTCAACAAGTGAGACAGTAGTCGTTAAATATGGTATACCTTGCACTAAGACAGTCATTTGCAAAATATGCTTCATTTCTTCTGTTTCTTTCTTGATTTACCCTTCATACGCCTGCCTTGTCTCTTGCGTTTCTCTTTACGGAATCCTTACCCATTGTTGGTAATTCCCTATGATTTCTGCTACCGTCTCAACATATACTAGTTATATCCATTCTTATCAGCAACACCCACTACACTCTCATAGCCAAAAATACGAACCACCCTTGACTTTGAGTCAAATAATGACTAATCCAGTCAGATGATTTTCTTCTCATTTTGGTAACTTTTCATCGATCATAGATTATTACATAGATTGTGACAGGAAATAGATTGATTTTCGTACCTTCCTTCCCTTAAAACATGTCGACACTAAAAGTAGCAACAAGCATATGAATTATTTACATATAAGCCTATGTGAATTTGCACTTGCATGTACGAATAACTGATTTTTAGTTTTGATTCATGTTAATTTCTCACACTTAAATATCTTTACAACTGATTACCAGATCCGCGTAGAAATTCAATCCCTCAGTGGATCTTGGGCATATATGTGTACAGAAGTGACTGATTCCTCTGGAAGACTTCGATTTTTTCTGCCGGAACAATTTCATTTACCTAATGGATTTTATCCCATAAAAATGATACCTGAGTCGGATCGTGAGCATCCTGTGCTTATTACATTAGCAGTAGTACCCCCTCAAACTGAAGTTGTTGTATTTAGCGTAGACGGTAGCTTTGCCGCAAGTTTGTCGTTGATGGGAAAAGTGAGTTTTTTTTCACAAAAGTTTATTGTTTAAATGTAGCCTTATAAATAAAGTCAATTCTCTAAAATAACTGCTATTTTTCGCATAATAATAAAAGCCCATCTCTTTCTATATCTTTTCGATGTTTTTTCTCCACTGCTACTCTGCGTTCTTATCAATAGCAGTCCTTAATATTAGGTAAATTATTACGTTGCACCTCCTATTGCTAATTGAATAAAATTGGAATTACTTATCACTAGACTTAAACTAAGTACCAAAGTAACAGCTAAACTGTGGCATGACTTGAGGACTTTGGTTTTGTTTGACCCCTTATGAGGTCAAGGATACTTATCGCTTAGAAAAAACTGTCATTACTTTCAGTTTCTCAGTCACACTTCAGTTAATACGGGATGTTGATGAAAACTGACGACAAATAAACACTTCTGCATCATCCATTAAATCCTATAACTTCATGTGTAAAACGAATGAACCTTGGTGTAAAATCGTTTTAGCGTACAATTTTATCATGTCACACCCATATCTTTTCTCCAAAGCCAGAACTCCCAAAATATGATCCTTTACCAACTATCGATAGTTGTCCCTTGTGAAGGTAGTATTGATGACAAAAGCTTCACAAACGAATCACCTGTCTCAGAGTAAAAAAAGCATCTTTTCTGAATGTAACATGTACTGTAAGATTCTACGGCTAACTATTAACCCAACACTACCCTCTCGTGAGAGTTTTACTATATTCACTTATGAGATTTTTAAGTTATTTCAGCGTTTCAAATATTCCTTTATTTTGTTGTGTTCAACTATATTCAGTGATTTCGGTCTCCAAACATCACTTTAGTAATTCATTGTCAGAAGTAAATTCTTTTGCCTTCATTTATATATCAATCCATTAACGTTTTATCTGTAGGACCCAAAGGTTCATCCTGGTGCTGTTGATGTCGCACGTCACTGGCAAGGACTAGGATTTTTGTTGATCTATTTGTCTGCTCGACCGGATATGCAAAGACGCCGAGTAACTAATTGGATGGCAAATCATAATTTCCCCTTTGGAATGACTTTCTTCTTAAATGGTCTATACACAGATCCATTAAAGCAAAAGGCGCAAATGTTAAGAACAATTGTTGAAAATGTATGCAGTCTATTTCATGTGATTTGTTTAATTTCAGTATTTTCATGATCTCAATGAGTGTATTAGTCACCTGTGACAAGTTTTTATAAACTGCATGATAGTCTACACTTCTGATGAATCTGCTGCTTCATTTCTACTGAACCAAATCGTGGTTCTGTTTCTGAAAAGTAAAGATTTCTTTCATACGTGTAAAATTGCATGATGACTTGAACAGTGTGAATGATACCCAGTCCTATATTTCTAAAGATATTACCTTACGATACTTCATAACTGGTTTGCACCCTCATCCACTTTCGCGATACGAAAAACTTTGCTTGAAGCATTTCAATAAGTTCAGTTCGTATAGTCATTTGAATTATCATAGACTAACCATGAGTGAGGCTTCGATATGCTTAACATGTGCCTACATGTTATCCTTTTGGCTTGAAATTCTACTTAGGAAAATGGTTACAGATGTTAACGTTTTAAAAGCTGTTATTTTGACTAATTTCTTCATGACTATCACAGAGTGATTTTATTTACAAAGGACTGTAATAAACGTCACTGGGCAATTATCTTGGATTCGCACACTTCAACTACGTCAACTTGCGTAATTTTTATCGGTCATCACAATCTGTAAAGCTTCTTAAGAGTTGGTTGTCGGAATTCGCTTCTCTGCTTTTATAATTTTGGTAGGAATTAGAAATAAGGAACTAGTGTAACTGTTTTTTTTCTTTCAAATTAGTTGATTTATGAGAACATTTTAATGGCTAGTCAAAAGTTTTTACTAAAATTATCTCCTACAAATGTACGTTTTAGGGAGAGTACTGTTTTCATGGTTTTACGCGGGACCTCACAACCTCTCTCTCTCTCATAACTGCTTTTCATTAATACCGTTTATATACAATTTACTTTTAACTATTTCAATTTAATAGGCCAAATTACGAGTTCATTGTGGCTATGGATCAGGCAAAGATATTAATCTTTATCGATCCCTTGGTTTATCTACGCATAATATCTTTCTGATCGGTAAAGTGTCTCGGTCTCAGGCGTCACACGGAACCGTAAGTTGGTCTCAGTCTTTCATTTTGTTTCTAAAACTGGCCACTTGTTTAAAACATCTGTTCAAAAATCATGGTATTAAGAATATTTGCTGCTTAACGAGTGACGAGGATAAATGTTCATGATTTGAAATCTTTTACCAAACACATTTAGTGCATACTAAATCTAATAGAACCCTAAGTGATTACGGAGTGTTAGTTAAATTATATACACTTTCAAACATGTTGGTGATTCAAATAATGTGATCAGCAGGAGAATATACAACTCTGCATGCATCCACTATGAAATTATCATGACTTAGAGGAAAAAGTACAATAAAGCAGTTTAGTTATGGAAGCAAATAACAAGATGAATTCATTTGTAAACAAGTGGAGAGCGACATAGGTTTCTAAATGTATATGAAGACTAAGAGTTGTTCCATGTACGTAGTTGTATTTGACTCAGTCGTGTCTTTTGAGGGTTTTATCCAGCCATTCCATACTTGGTTACATATCAGAGACAAGTAATAGGTTTCTTGATAAATTCACTGATTCATGTATCGGTCCATCGGTCTTCAAAATATTAATGTGTTGTTTTACGAATTGTAATAACAGTTTTAGATGCATTGTTGTGAAGTCATCTGCAATCGTATATAGTGTTATTGTCGTCCTATCTAGTGTGATTGTCATACACTATAAGCTCACCATGTTTAAAGAAGTTTAAGCAAGATTTTTCCGATCATTTTTTGTGTAAACTACAACTTATTCAGCAAAATACTCGGTTTTTTAGTTTGCTTGTGATTGTCAAGCTGAGTCATTCAATTGTTGGCTAGAGAAAAGCCTATGTTGTATTGAAACAAGGAGAAACTTGAGTTAAGTGATCTTATTTCAATTCACTCTTAAAATAAATTATGGTGATGATGAGTGACTATTTTTCCTCGGTAAATATTCTTTCCGCCTTTGATTTCCCACGACAATATGTTTATTCCATGATTATGGTCTCTTGTAATGTATATGAACGCAGCTTTGAGTAACTACATGCTTTGTGCTAATTAAAACGATGCAAGGGAATGGTTCTACCAACTATACCAGCCAGAACTTCCTGACATTGCTTATCTGCGTTACTTCCTAACGTGCAATTTTTATAGTTATGGTTAGATTAACTTTAGTGTTTGACCAATACATTTCGTTTGACGCCAGTTAATAGTTCTGACGCACATATCCTTGACCAAAAATGATAGGTTGTAACAAATTAAAGTGCATCGCATTCATAAAGAAGTAGTTTGAATTATTTTGCTGCAGAGTAAAAAGAAATTGACAGAATGTTTACAAAACAATGAAAAAGAAACAAAGATTGGTGGTTAATTGTAATAGAATGAAGTGCCGAATATTCCGAGGAAACGTTTTTTTTTTGAGCCAAGAAACCTAACATCGTGTACCATCAATACCTACTGTTCAACGATATTTAAGCACTGAATCTATAGTTCTCATATAATTCAAACCATTTGCCAATCATTTTGTAGTCTTCTACTGTATATTGGTGTCAGCCTTTCGCTTCAAACGTTTTGTTTTTCATTCTAGATATTACTGTAATAGTAAATCCCCGATTTCTTCATACTAACATTAATAGTACTGATCACTGCTTGTCTTAAACTGGTCTTTGCAAATCTTATTGCGATAACACTCAGAAAAGAATGATATACAACTAGGTGTTTCTTAGTTTGCATACGTTCCAGTCCTATCTTTAAAAGTCTTATAAAGACCGGTTTAAAAAAAGCAGTGATCAATAATACTAATATCAACATGAGGAAATCTAGGGTTTACCATTAAAGTAATATCTTGAATAAAAAACAAAACGTTTGACTCTAACAGTTTTGACTACATTTTCGTCTATTTCTCCAACTTTCATTCTGACATGCTGATATGAGATGTCGCAACCTGAAACGTTACGAATTAATGCCAGGTCTCATTTTGTTGCCGATTGACCAATAAATAGATTGAAGAATCTAAAGTTTTTGAATACGCAGTTACGTTTTTGACTCCTAGTAACAATGACCTGTAAGAAGTAACCAAACTGTATTTTTGCACTGTGTAAGCAAATGTTTTAGATGGATCTTTTGTAGACGGATAAATAGTATTACCTTGTCTCGGCATTTTCTCTCTTATTAGCAGATTTTAGTTTATACCCTTCAACGAATTGCTAGTAAAGTTATCTGGAGCAGAAAACGTTATTTTCGTATCACAGTATGCCCCGTGTTGGCAAAGTAGGTAAAGGTTGTACAATTTAGTAATGCATCCACATCTGTAATGTTACCAATTACGTATGCATAGAAGTAAATGCTGTTAAGCATGAATTATTTATATATTTCTGCAGAGGAAGATAGTCTCATATATTTACACTAATGAGACTATCACAACTAACTTTTCTTTCATTCACAATTTCAACTCTGATCTGATTGGAAAGCCATTGTGTAGTTGGCCCTTAAGGGGGATACCAATCACAGTGAAAGTGCTACACTAATGGCATAGTATACTACTAGTTTAGTGTATACAACAGTATTTCCCTTGGTTTTTTTTATTCGCTTCCTTTCCACCCCTCTAAACAAATAGTCTGAATCCTTGATTGGGACATTTAATCTGGTGTTATCAGTAGTGCGAAAATAGAAAAACAGAAATTCTTCATCTGGTTATTATGCTTCTTCTATTATTATTATTATTATTATTATTATTATTATTATTATTATAATTATTATTAGTCCCTTGGGTTCCTAGTGGAACATAGGGCCTCAGTAGCACGTCTCCAATGAACTCTGTTCTCTGAGATCTTTTGAACCTGGTCCCACGACAGCCCAGAAGCTCTCATTTCCTCCTCGCACGACCTCCTCCATGTCACCCTTGGACGTCCAACTCGTCGCTTCCCATGGGGATTCCACTCGAGCAATTGGCCTGACGCGTGATGTCCTCAGTCGGCCTTCTCAGTGCATGGCCAATCCATCTCCACTTCTTCCTGCATATTTGTTGCGTGATAGGTTCTTGGTTGGTTCGTTCCCAGAGTTCCTTGTTGCTTATTCTTTCTGGCCATCTGATATTCAGTAGCGAGCCAGCGTAAGCAGTTGTTGATGAATGTCTGTAGTTTATTGGAAATGCCTTTCGTGACGCGCCAAGTCTCTGAACCATACAAGAGCACTGACTTGACGTTGGTGTTGAAAATCCGTATCTTGTTCTGCATGCTGAGTGCAGAAGATCTCCACACTAATTTCAGGCTGATGAACGCCTGTCTTGCTTTTCCGATTCTGACTTTGACGTCGTCGTCTGTGCCTGTGCCGCCACCTGTAGTTGAAACAGTGCTTCCCAGACAAGTGAAGGAGGTTACTTCCTTTAAGTTTCTCCCGTTGACGGTGATTGGAGTTTGTTGTTGGTGGTGGTGGTGCGGTATCTTCATCACCTCTGTCTTCTCTATATTCACCTGAAGTCCCGTCTTCGCTGCCTCTTCTATCAACTTGTTAGTTTTTGCCTGTAGATCTTCAAGTTTATGTGACATCAGATACAAGTCATCGGCGAAATCCAAGTCTTCTAGGTTCTTTTCCGTAGTCCAGCGTATCACCCTCTTCTCGCTCCCCACTGTTTGCTGCATGATCCAGTCCACCACAATAAGGAATATCATGGGGGATAGTAGGCAACCTTGTTTCACTCCTGTCTTCACTTCACTTCAAAGGCATCACTGAGCTTCCCATTGTGAATTACTTGGCATGTGGCATCTTCATATAGTTGTTGAATGAGGCGGATAAAGGTTTGCGGTACTCCGTAGTACTGAAGCAGTTTCCAAATTACCTCTCGGTCGACGCTGTCAAAGGCCTTCTCAAAGTCGATGAAGTTGAGGTGGAGAGCTGATTGCCATTCTACACTCTGTTCTATGATGATGCGAAGCGTTGCAATTTGGTCGGCACATGATTTGTACTTGCTGAAGTTAGCCTGCCTGCTCCGGTCGTAGTTTTGAATCCAGTGCATCTTTAAGCCTCTCCAGGATGATACGGCTTAATATTTTACTTGGGGTGGACAGGAGAGTGATTCCGCGCCAGTTCTTGCAAGCACTGAGGTCTCCCTTCTTCGGCAGTTTGACAAGGTAACCCTTCTTACAATCACACTGCAGGTACCTTCTCTTCCTTCCACACCTTCTGCAATAGTGATGTAGTGTGAGCATGTCCGCTGTTGTCTCTGCATCTGTTCTCAGTGCTTCTGGCGGTATTCCATCTGGTCCTGCTGCTTTCCCGCATTTCAGTAGCTTTATGGCGTTCAGGACTTCCATTTTCGTTGGGGGATTTATGTTCACTTGTAATTCAGCGGCTGCATGTGGTATTTCTGGACGAAGTGCAGGTGGTGGTCGATTCAAGAGCTTTTTGAAGTGGTCGGCCCATTGTTTCCTTTGTTTCTCTTCTCTCGTAATTAAATTTCCTTCTTCATCTTTTATTGGTTTCATCTGTGTTGGTCTCTTCCCTGATAGCAACCTGGTTATTTGATACAATGTCGTCAGGTCTCTCTTACCTGCAGCCTGTTCTGCTTCACTTACCAGTGTTTCGTAGTAGTGCCTTTTGTCTTTCCGTGAACTCTTCTTCACTTCTTTATCCCGTGAAGTGTTTTGTACATTGTGCTCAGTTCCTCTTGTCGTTGAGCATCCTTGCACTGGTTTATCTTCTGCTTCATCATCCTCCTCTCCTCTATCAGCTTCCAGGTATCCGTCGAGATCCATTCCTTGTCTTCTTTCTTCTTCCTTCCTAATACTGTTGTGCAGGTTTCTTTCCACATAGCTTTCAAAGACTTCCAGTGTTCTTCCACACAGCTTTCTTCAGGCATGTTCCTCATTTTGTTCTCCCATTTTGTCTTGATGGCTGCCTTGAAGATCTCCTTTGTAGTTTCATCCTTCAGTTTCCGAGTGTTGTACTTGAATTGAGGTCTATCACCAGCTTCCTTGAAGGCTTTTAACTTGATTTGGAAGGTTCCTTGCACTAAACAGTGAGTGGTCTGAACCTACATCTGCTCCTCTTCTTGACCTTGTGTCAAGTAGACTGCGTCTCCATTTTCTTAAGATTGAGATAAAGTCGATTTGATTTTTAGTGTGTCCTTCTGGTGAAATCCATGTCGCTTTGTGGATATCCTTGTGCTTGAACACAGTGCCCCCAATCACCAAATCGTTGAATGCGCAGAATTCTGCAAACAATTCTCCATTCTCGTTCATTTCACCTAGCGCCTCTCGACCCATGGTTAGTTCTCTTCCTGTGTTGTGTGCTCCCAGTTTGGCATTCATGTCGCCCATTAAAATTTTGATATCGCCAACCGAGGTCTTGTCCAGTGTTGATTGAAGTTGTCTGTAGAATTCCTCCTTCTTCTCTTGCTCTGCATTATTTGTAGGTGAGTAGCGTAGCATTGTACGATTGTGACCTTCCTTCCTTTTGAGTTGAATCTTGCTGTCATGATCCTGGAGGAGATTGGTTCCCACTGCATGAGAGCCTTCGATGCTCTTGGGGACATCATGATAGCCACTCCAAAACTCAGTGTGCTCGTGGTTGTCGTCTGGGTGACGATATCGGAGTAGATTATTGATTCTGCAGTTGACAGTTTGGAGATTTCACTCCCATTCCATCTGCTTTCGCAAATCCCAAGCACTTCGATGTGATACCTTCTCATCTCGTTTGCAATTTGGGCTGCCTTACTGGGTTCAAACATCGTGCGGACATTCCATGTCCCCACGTTTACTTTCGCTTTCATGGAGAGAAGCGAAGACACATCGGCCAATTGGCTTCCCGAAGACAGGCTTTCACCAACTGGCGTCATTTCGCCTCTCCGATTCCAGCGGGGAATAAGTTTGTTTTCATTTTTTATATTTTGTTTGTGCTTTGAAGTTTGTTTAGCGGTTAGATTTGTTTTACGGGGTAGGGTTGCTAGCCCTATGCCCAACCTTCCCTCTTTACCCGGGCTTAGGACCGGCTGGTAACTAGTAAACTAGTTAACCAGGCGAGGTTTGCTTCTTCTATATCTGTTCATTTTCATAGGCATCTAATTCTTTTTGTTGGTTTGAATATTCGGAAATGATAGATCGTTTTTATTTTGTTTTTCGGTTTATTTAATAATTATGTTTAACCCTTTTGTATGGTATTCGGGCCTTCTTCGATATCATCGTGTTTGTAACAGATAAATATGTTTGTATGTCATGTTTGCTTGTCACACCAAGTTTCATAGTTTTTCCGTCTCGGTGGGAAAATAGCTAAACCTCTCTATACATCCCCCTAACTGGAACATTCCATAATGTTATATTCATTGAATGTTTGTTTATGTAAAAATGTGACTGAATAACTTAATTACTAAATTCTCAAGCAGAAGATTCGAATCTTATAACCCACATCGAACCTTTAGACCTGAATAACCAGTTTTTATTATTAAAGCGTATATCTTAAGTGTGACTCTTAGCGTAATACCGAGTTAAGTTTACTTGTTTTATTATATAATGTCGAGTTCAATCAAACATTAGTACACTGTTTTTTATGCTTTTTAAAATCTGTAGTCAGATGTGGAAATGACTATTTTGAAAACAATATTTAATTTTTAACTTCCCTTCAAATCGTTTAGCTATTTGTTACTGGCATTTTTATTATCCGTGGATATCGTTGACATCAGGTATTGTGAACTTTTCTTTGTGAGATATATTATGTATATCCTTCGCATCTACAAAAATTTATCCGCCTAATCAATATGCGTATAAGAATGCTGGTACATATTCGTGTTATATCACTTAGAAAAGCTGTCATATTAGAAGCGGATACACGTAAATCCCTGGATAAAAGCTTTTACAAAGTATGTAGAAGATTATTTTGTTATTAGCTACAGTATTTCAACCATCATAAACATATCAGTAGCATTTCTTTCTATGTGGTGAAGGTATTTCATTGTGACTAGTTGTATGTTTTTCAGTGCACATTTAAGTCTGTCTTATACTTTGCTGTGGACATCATATATACTCTTGTGAGGGTCCAGGTTTCCGTTGAAACTTGAACCCATTACTCATCACTTCACACTATAAAACATTATCGACCGAACTACTAAATCATGATAACCATTACAAATTGGATCTGCTATATATCGTCGCTGTTTGACATTATATATAGTTTATATATGTTTAAGTCAGCGTGTTTAGAATAAAATAATTCCAACGTTTCGTGCGGAAGTCTGATCCAGCTTCAACGCCCAATATTTGCTATATTATTCATTCAAATCTTGATCATACTTCATATATATTAAATCAGTCACTTTTTGTTAGATCCTTTTTCGGTTAGCACTAATCCTTATATATATATATATATTTTTGTTTTCAAGCCGTTATCACAAGGATACTCATCACACTTGTCTTCATTAATCAACGGTCATCCTCTGTGTAGACCCGCTGTTGGAGCTATGAGTGTACCAGTACGCTGTTGTCCATTCGATTTACCTTCTATTTGTCCGTCTTCACCCTTATCAATGAAATCTGATTTGTTTCGAAATAATTCTGTTAACTTTTCTTCTGTACCATCAAGCAAACAATTATCATCTGAAACAGAATAAAATTATTTTATGATCTCTATTAACTTCGTATCTTATTCAAATAGCACATATATCTGCAGGAATGGTTATAGATAAAATGTAGATAAGATTTTTATGACTCTTTTTGGGAGTCTATTCACTTTTTTCTACTTATTTCAATGATAATACCCAGCTATATCTGGGGACCCATCTGTCCTGTCTTTTCAAAATGCTTCCCTACGTATAAAGTTTCTGCTTTAGCTTTTTGTAGTAACTCATCGAAGAAGTATCCTTCTCACCTGTAATTTGTAAATCGTCGTTTAAACATAAATCTATCCTTTCTGATCATCTCCCTATTATTTACTGCCCGATATACATTTTGAAGGTTATCAGAATCTGAAAACTCAAAAATCATTCCTCTTGAGCTTATTGTATAATTGATTAGTCATATTATATATTATCATTTGTATTTGATATTTTTCTTTCCTAAGTGTCCATCTATATTTTCAATGTTATACTTTAATTACTCTGAACTTTGTATTACTTTATCGTGGTTTTTCCATTGAAACGCGGGTTGTTTATTTTAAATACTTTACTGTAATAATTCACGCTCATATTTTTTTCGTTAGATCGCTCGAGCAATCTCCAAAGTTAGTGTTATCGATTAAATGTTAAGGTTTTTCAATGATTCAGTTACCTTGCGCAATTAAATCTCTCCTTTATTTAAATGGTTCAAGTGCACATATGTCGGATGATATGCTACTGTAAGTTAGTTCTTAATGTTAAAGCACAGCTAACCAATTTCTTACTGTTTTGAGTGTCATCTATTCTATGAAGGTGAGGTTATGCTTGAATATATTTCATTCTTTGGCTTCCATTACATGTGCATACAATGTTACAGCCGAATACAAGAATACATTGTTCAAAATGATTATCCGAAATAGACTTAGTTTCGCATATATTCATCTGAATTTAAGATTATCGTCAAGATAGAAATATATGTTATTATTACTAGATATTCGTGTTACTGTGTGACTTTCTTACGAAATGCTTAAGTCTTCTATTGTACAATTATATTCCTTTTTGTTGAAGACTGTTTAGATTGACGAAGGAGTTCAACACTACTAACTCCTCCATGAGCATTAGTGAAAGAAAACCTATTTCTGTCGATATGAAAATATGTTTTTCGCTAATAAGCATTCAACACATCTGAAGTATCCTCCGAACAGATGTCCATCACTTGTTCTGCTAATATTTTCCCTCTGTGATCTCGTCCTATGATGCTTCTCCTGCAATGTAGAACGAAGAAGAAAAGAACTATTAAGTCAGCGGTATTCGCTAGCATGTAGTCAGTAGGACGAAGAATTTGCACAGGTCATACATGCACAAAGTTTTAAGTTCCTCAAGACAAGTTCAATTTGCCGTTAACCTCTTTGTTTCATGAAAATATACACTTCACGTCGTCAGTCACACGTGCAGGTAATTAAAATTAATGCGCATCACGAAACCCCAAACAGCCAGGATTCTAATCCGTATGTGTAACCTTTCCAACATCACTACAGCCTAAAACATGGACCCAGTGTATCAGTTAGGATTCTGAAACCTGCATGATGACAGCAAAGTAAACAGTTTCAAAAAGTATTCGCAACGATTACCCCAGTAGTCAACCTAAACCTATATTCATTTAGAACTTCATGTCATTTAGAACACATGCATGGGGAAGCGAGGTAGATCTCAGGTGAACGCAAGGGAATTTCGTTTGCTGCTGTTGCCACTTTTGAGTCCAGATAATACCACGTATTTTTGAACACTTCTTCCGTAGCAAGTAAGTTGGAAATAGTAGTCTTGTTACGTGCTCACCTGGTAAGACTTCAAAGCGTTGTTTACAGAATCAGGAAACTTTCCCCACGTGCACAATCAGGAAACACAATTGCAGCCACTATCCTTCACAACCATAGATGACAGTTTTTGTAGGGCTACACCCACAAAATTCATACACTTCTTTCTAAATTTCCCGTTAAGGTGGGATTCTACCACCCCTATGTTATCAGAAACTTCTTGTATTATACAGTTACTCCGAAAGCAGCCTTTTCAGCTTTCATACGTTAGCTGTTTCGGCTTCATGTAGTCCAGATACTCTATGTCTGGAAGAATTTTCAGCTGTTCTTTGACAACGGGTAAATGAGAAGCTTATAGCAGATCCCTGACATCCCCTGTCCATGCTTTATTAAGTTGGGGTATTCCGTATTCATACTTCTATAGAAATGAATCCACGCAATATTTTCCTGTGGCATGCATACAGTAACATCCGCTGAGCACAAATTCTCGAGCATTTGACCTGATGCATGCACAATCTCATTTGAATGAAGATTGAGCTAGTGCATAACTGCGGATTATCTACTATGTGTCAACATGACTAACAATAAGACTGCCTATGACATAAAGACGCAAATAGGGAACACAGCAATATAGAAACATACTTAAGAATGCTAACAACTTATTATCTTCCTTTAGCTGTCTAATTACATTTTCATTACATGACAAGTATATATATGGTGTTAACAACGGGATACTCTATAGAACGAACCTGATTCACCATAAACTCACGTTATCAATAAATAGCTTACCGGTATGGAGTGACCATGCCGCAAACAACTACTAAATGTCATTTAAACAGCGTAATGAGAAGACGAACATTATCTGAGACTTGTGGTGTAATAGCGCCATACATTTCGTTTACACACGAACTTATCGAACTATTTATATGGAAATTTACGAAAAGGGTCTGTTGACAGGAGGTTAGTACTGACTTGCCCACTTTCACGCAGTCAGACAAGTCGAAATACTGAATAAGAAATCTGATTACTTACTGGGAAATACTACTGTAAATGATTAGATCAAATGAAATAACTGTCGAAAATACTTGTTCCACACACAGTTGGAAGGTAGTAGTGACCACTAATGTCAGTTACACCGCACGAAATTTATATGGCAACATGCTATATACAGGCAGTGCGACAACTGGGCGTGGCTAATAATCACCCCCCAAAACACATGTGAATGGCTTTTGTTTCCAACCAGCAACATCCAATATTGATAATGCCAGCTTAGGAAACTGGTAGTTTTTAGTCTTTCGTGTCTAGTTCTTAGGGTTTGGTTTTCTGTTGCAGTGGGCAGTGAGATTTCTTCTGCTCTCTTGCTTTTAGCTCCTGTGAGATGAACGTTTTTGTGGGTTAACAAGCTGCAATTCGTAGAGTGACTAGAGGGCTAAGGGTTGCTGGGATGATTAGGGGTCCGTCGTGACTCCTATTTGTGTAGGTGCTTAAATAGGAACAGCAAAAAAACAGTGAGAAAAAAAATACCTGGGAATTACCCGAAAGGCAGAAGTAAATACCACTGGTCCAGTTGCTAGAGGAAAGTTAGTAGATAATGTAGGTGTATCAACTAGATAGGTAGTGAGTGGTAAGTAGAAGGGAAGTGACGGTGAGCTAGTGGGATTAGTAACTCCCTGGGAATGTCTGTGAGAAGCCGTGCGAAATGACATGACTGCATAACCGTCTTTTGAATGAGTCTACCAAGAGGGCTGTAACTGCATCCCTCTGTGTAGGGCATTCCATAAAGCACATACTCTTAAGCAGAAACAGTTAGACCGGTGCTAGCTCTCTGATGTGATAGGACGCAAAAAACATGCTATTCACAGCTGACTTCTCCACTGCGTGCATTGTGGCAGACTTTGGCATTCGGAAAGTGAGAGAAGATAGTGTCTGGCCGATGCCTCTGCGCAAATAGTGCATGAAATTCTTAAAGTTAACTTGCTGGGATGAAAGGTAGTTAATAATGGTGAAGATATATGGGAAATCATCCGGACAAAACATTGAGGTTGCATGGAGGTGACCATAAGATTTTATCTGGTTCTGGAGCAATACGTATCCATGTCTTTGTTTGAAGGAGTCAGCTGACAGAACTATTGCTAATTTGTTTCTCTGAGTATTCTAAACCCTAGAGTGGGAGAAACTGAAACTAACATTTTTGTTTTCGCTGTCGAACGCACAGAATTACTCACAGAGGGAAAGAAACTTAAGTTGCCAACAAGAAAAATCTCAGCAGCTCTTGTTTGTTAAACATTCTCGGATTAGTTTTAGGCTTACAGCATTGCATTTAAAACATAACGGTACGTAAGCATTACATCTTTCTCACTTGGTTTTCTCTAAAACGCCTTCAAAACATCAAGCATTTACTCAGCTGTCCATTAAAAGTAATGCCAGTTTTGCTCGGCAAAATTTGGCTCATGTTGGTCAATCGTTCACATCTTTGGATTAACACGCTCCTTAAAATTGACCATAGGCAAAGCGTAGGTTTACAATTCTTCATTCACCAGTTACGTTACCAATAACAGATAGTTTAACAAAATACTTCTCACAATGTCTCTGATATTCACTTTCCTAAATTCCTAGTCAATTGCACGATCCAACTAGCGAAAACCTCCATAACTGGTTTCAGGTTATCCAGCCTTGACAAAACCTGATCCTTGAAAACTAGTATGGCCAAGACCATTGACACTTGTCTCTTCATAGATCCAAAGTTCCATAAACATCGAATACTTGAATTTTTCCCTGGCCTAACGTCTGGACGTCACTCGCCGTTTCGATAGACACCTACATCCTTTTCATTTCAATGAATAAGACAGATATTAATTTTCAGACAGTTCAAACTTGAGAAAATGAACAGTCTGCCGAAAAGTTTCGACCAAAACAGACGAACTGGAATTAAAGTAGCATATGCACTTATCCGAATGATAATGAGATTATAACCGAGATAGAATTCATTAGCTTTTAAATGCTTAAAAGTTAGGACTGCATAGTCTTCAAATCTTTTCCTTACTGCCAAGGGATCTGGAAAGCAGTAGTTAGTAAGCAGTCGTTTCGTTCTACATTCAATACGGATATGAGTGAAAATTATACGGAATATGGTTATAAATAATGCCGGGGAACTTATTTACGCTTTTAACTACATTTTATGCCCAAAGTAGGAGGACCTACGAA